TAGATTACAAGATTTATGCATCTATAATAGCGGATAGATTGAAGAAAGAATTATCACAATGGATAGAGGAGGATCAAGCAGGCTTCCTACCAGGTCGACAAATTAAAAATAACATCAGAACAATCGTAAATATACTAGAATATTGTGAAATAAATCCAAGGGAAAAATTAGGAATTATCTTAATCGATTTTGAAAAAGTGTTTGACAGCGTGGATTGGGTCTTTTTGAAAGAAGTATTAAAACAAAGTAACATGGGAAATAAAATGGTAACATGGATTAATGCCATTTACTTAAATCAAAATGCACAAATAGATATAAATGGGGAGAAATCGGAGAAATGGAAAATCAATAAGGGGACACGTCAGGGCTGTCCTCTGTCCCCCCTTCTTTTTATTATGATAATGGAAATTTTGATGAGAAAAATAAGGAATGAGAAGCAGATCAAAGGACTTCGGGTAGGGAGTCAAATCTATAAAACAAAAGCATTTGCTGACGATTTAGCAATCATATTAGAAGATCCAAGGGAAAGCATAACAAAATTAATATCAACCATAGAAGAAGTCTGTAGCATGGCAGGTTTCAAAATTAATAAAATAAAAAGTGGAATTCTAACAAAAAATTGCCCAATAGCAGACGAGGAGGAGCTAATGGAAAAAACAAACATAAAGATTGTAACAAAAATAAAATATTTAGGTATAACGATTACAAACCAAAATCGAGATTTAGTAAATAACAACTATGTTAAGACATGGAATAAGATTAGGGAGGATTTAAAAAAATGGAAATCTTTTCACCTGTCATTGCTTGGGAGAATAGCAACAATACAAGCACATGTACTCCCTAAAATGCTATACTTATTCCAGAACATTCCAGTGATCACTGATAAAAAAATTTTTAAGATATGGCTTAAAGATATAAGAAAATTTATTTGGCATAAGAAAAAAGCAAGAGTAAAAATAACAACCTTACAAGATGAGATTAAGAAAGGGGGGTTAGGTTTACCTAATCTCCAAATTTACTACTATGCTGCGGCCTTCTCTTGGATAAAAGATTGGATAGAGCTAAAGAACAAGAGAATATTGGTCTTAGAAGGGATAAATCTAAAAGAGGGTTGGCACAAGTACCTACAATATAAGGATGAGGTAAAAGATAAAAATTTTAACAAGCATTTAATTAGAAGATCATTAATGAAAGTATGGTCAAAATACAAGAAGTATATGTACAATAAAATCCCACGGTGGGTCTCACCCCAAGAGGCTTTCCATAAAAATGAATACCCCAAAGACAACAAAGAAGATATTATAACAACATTATCAGACCTAGAAAAAAAAGAAGATGGAATACATTGGTTAGAATACATGCAAATAAAAGAAAGATTCAAAAGAGATAAATGTACATTTGGAATTGAACCAGAAAAAAAAGAATTAGAAATTATCTTAGAAAAAGGGGAAAAACACTTGATATCGCGGCTCTACAAACTTCTGTTGGATATTGAAATGAAAGAGGAAATAATAAAGGAATGTTTGATAAAATGGATGCAAGATATGGAAGAAAATATCCCTCTTGAAATCTGGGAAGAAGTCTGGTGTAAAAGTTTAAAATTCACTAAAAGTGCCTACCTGATAGAAAATTATTATAAAATGCTTTACAGATGGCACATGTCACCAGTAAAAATAGCCAAATTGACAAATAAAGAGGATAGCCTCTGTTGGAAGTGTGGTCAGAACAGGGCAAATCTGTTTCATATGTGGTGGACCTGCAAGTCAGCACAGAATTATTGGAAATTGATTCACTCAAAAATCCAAGACATCTTTTCACTTCAATTTAAATTAGACCCAAAATTATATTTACTGAATATTACTGAAGAATTAAAACAGAAAACCAGCAAGGCAGAAAGAGAGGTGGTACTATATATGATTACAGCGGCCCGCCTAGTTTTCGCTAAATATTGGAAAGTAAATAGGGAAAATCTAGAACAAGAATGGCAAATAAAATTAATCGACCTAATGAACATGGACAAGCTGACAATGATGATCAAAGGCAAAACAGAGCAAAAATACCATGAGAAGTGGGGAAAATTAGAAAAGCTTTGGGACTGAGGACTGTTTGCAACCTTATGTAAAATAACTCTCAGTAATATCTTAAAATAAATATTTGCATTCTCCTTTTTCCCTTTTTCAAAAGAAAGAGATAGGAAAGGAAAGGGATTGTGTGTAATTGTTGGAAATAGAAGGGAGAAAGGGAGAGAGAAAAAAAATGCAGTTTAGGTTGATCTTGATCTCGGCATATTTACACAAGTGCTGCCTCCCCTCTGATTTATTTTTCAATGCACTCTCCTTATTTTATTTTATGTTATAAAAATTAAGGAGAGTCATTTATAAATCATCCTTAACAAGTTTAGATGAGCCGTAGTAAACAGAGTAAACACTTTAGATGAAATGCCAAGCATCATAAAGAAAGATATTTTATTTTTATAATTATGTACTAAGTTCTTACTATTTAGAGAAAGTAATATGTCAAAAACAAAACTCTATTGTATGACATTAAGGGATATGCTACTATGTACACTTTTCTTTATATTATTCATATTGATGACTCTGTAGATATCAGTTGTTGAATAAAAAAAAAAGTAACTTTAATGTTACAGTTACAGACCATGAAAGAAGTTAACATGTTCTTCATTAAGTTATTAATGTAATGGAATTTAGTTACACATTCATTATTAGGAAAAGCAACTAATTACAAGTAATTAATGGTTTGTAATTAGTTTCTTCCAAACTTTGGGTAACACATAACCATCATGACTAGCAGCTATGGATTACATTATTCTCCATGAATTTTACAAATCCATTTGTTAAAGCTATCTAAACTAGTGAATGACACCATATCTTAGGGCAGTAAATTCCATAAATGACAACTAGCTGAGTCTCTCTTATTTGGAATTCCAAAATCCAAAACATTCCAAAAATCAAAACCTTTTTCATAGGTAATTGAAACAAAGACACTTTTGTTTTCTGGAGGTTCAATGTACACAACTTTGGGGGGTTGCAGACTGTCAGAAATAGTGCAAATTGAGTTCACTTTTAGGGTTAGGGTTAGTGCTAGGGAATCATGGGAATTGTGTTTTTTCCTGAGACATTGAGCCTTCTCTGTCAGAGAGCTCTGGTGACACAATAAAATACAGTTCCCATGATTCCCTAACCCTAACAGTGGATGCAATTTGCACTAGTTCTGGCAGTCTGCAACCCTTGTTTCATGCACAAAACTGTTTAAAAAATATTGTATAACATTACCTTCAGGCTATGTGTATAAAGTATATATGAAACTTAAATGAATTTTGTGTTTAGACTTGGGTGCCATCTCCAAGGCCTCTCATTATGCACATATATGCAAATAAAGGTATTCCAAAATCTCCAAAACTACACTTCTGGTCCCAAGCATTTAAGATAAGGGAGGCTCAGCCTGTATGCTGTGCTTTCATCTGTTCTCATTCTTCCACCAGCTAATTTCATTGGATGAAAGAGGAAGAGAAGCTTTCCTGTGTCTACTATATCCATACCATAAATAAGTTTATAAACCTTGAGCATGTTTTCCTTTAGTCATCTTTTTTTTCTAATAAAAGAGCCTAACTTAGAATGTTGTTTTCAGGAAGAAAGAATGACATGCTGAAGCCATCTATAACTGAGCAACGGTAAGATGATGGTCTTTGTCACGGAACATCATTTTATAACTGCTGTGCTAAAAATAGGTCCCAGAGCATCACTACTCCATTACTCTGGCATATCATTCTATTCATTCTTCTTAAAAATAACTTTCCAAGCTCTTCTAAGAAGACCCAAATTCTGTGATCTTTCTTCATATGAAAGGTGCTCCAATCTCTTTCACTCTGTCCGATTGATTTGTGTCCCCTGTTTCTGCATTTCTCCCCATTTTTACAAGAGAGGTGTAGTCATGTCATGATTTTCTGTGTTCTTAAAAAGCAACCAATGTTTTGAAACACCCAAAAATAAAAAGATACAATGCACAGGTTGCAGATTCAGTGCATTCTGTCTTTCTCAAGCTGGTGCTCTTCAAATATGTTAGAATACAATTCTCATCATCCACAGCCATAATGGTTGTAATGTGTGAGGATGAGGATAGTGGTTACAGCTGAGTTGAAAAGACATCTGAGTGGAAACTGTATTGAGAATGAACCATGTAAAACAGCCCCTGAACTGAGACTGGACACTGGGCCATCTTGCAAGAAGAGCCATTTTTAGTAGAAAAGTCAGAATACATCTGCTAAATCATGCAGCTGAAAAATTGATGCTTATAGGATGCAAAATTCATCATTCACATGGTCTGAGAATTTTAATACACATAGGCAATCTACTGACAATGAATTTGTAAATGATGGCACAAAGACATTTCTGCCTACAAATTGCAGCGTAAAAGGCAATATTTCCATAGTTTTAAAAAATGTTTTCCAATGAAGTACTCACAGTAAATGAGAATTTAGAATGGAAAAATAAGCCAATCAAGTTGACAGACTTCCAACTTCCATACCAAGCATAAAGTATATTCATATCTTGGATGGAGTAGGGGAGGGAATCTCACAACAAGAGGTAAAGAAAACAAGAAAAGCCCAGCAGATTTATGGACAGATTTGGTGCCTTATGAATATTTGACCATCATAACCCTGCAAAAGTTTTACTATGCAAGTTAAATAAAGTTTTTAGATCAAGGTGAGTGCCAGTAGCCTGTTTGGTCTATATGTTCCTTTTTTCTATTTAACACTTTTTCTAAAGAGATAAACCTTATTTTAAAAAAAATATCTGGGGACTGTGTTTTTGTATTGTATTGTATTGTATTGGGTTATTCTACCATCACCCCTTTTTTCTCAAAACTGGGACTCAAGGCTTCTTACAAAAAAAAGATATATACGTAAGGAAAAATACTTCTAGATTTAAAAATATTAAAGGCTATGTACAAAATTCTAAAATGCTGGATCCAAAATAGGAGCCATTGTTGTGTAGCGGTTGGACATCAGACTAGGATTCTGGAGACCAGGGTTTGAATCCCTTCTCGGGCATGGAAACCCACTGGATGACCTTTGGGAAAGTCACACTCTTTCAGCCTCAAGAAGGCAAAAACAGCCCCCTTCTGAACAAATCTTGCCAAGAAAACCCAACATGGGGTCATCTTAGGGTTGCCATAAGTTGGAAATGACTTGAAAGCACACAAAACAAGGAATAAAAGTCATTTAAAACATATCTATTAAAAGGCAAGAGATAAAAACACACTAGCCAAAGCCTTTTTCTTGTAGAACAACCAGTTTGCAAAAGCCTGTTGAAATAAAAAGGTCTTCACCTGCCAATGGATGGACAGCAAGGCAGGAGCCAGCCCAGCCTCCATAAGAAGGGAGTCCCAGAGCCTAATAACTTGTCAGAGATAGAGCAGCTATGTCTTCATCCATCTTTGTTAAAATCATTCTGACTTAACCTGCTCAGGCTTTAAAAGCTATAAAGTTTTCAATAGATTACATAGGAAAAAATATCTCTGGTCTGCACACAGACTAAATAATGGCTGAGTTCCTATATCAGAAGACATGTGTGGGTCACATAGCTTTGACTCTATAGCCATGTTTATCAATGCTATCCCCCCACAACCCACTTTGCAGACTCTGCAGCCCGCCTTCCATTTCCAGGTTGTTAGAAAGTGAGGGGATGAGCAGCAACACATCTAGCTATTTTCCTGAAACTGGAAGTGTCAGTAACAGGTACCCTCAGGTCCTTAGGACATCCCTACAGAGGAGGTCCTTGCAGACATCCAGCTAAAGCAAAACAACTGGATGCATCACTACTGATCCCCTTGTTCACTGATAACATGGCCATGGCTATGGGAAAGGGCAGAGCTACATGAGTTGCAACATAGGCTGGGGAGAGCCAACTGTTACATTATCAGAACAAATTTCTAGCTTACAGAAAGACCAAAAAATTGAGTTGTGATTATGTAAGGCAAATGTATGACATCATAACTTACTATCAGGATATCAACTAGGCTTAATTTTGCATGGTGATGCTATCAGGCACCAGTGGCTGTGAATTGGAGAGCAGGACTCAAGGAGCCTGACTTGCTGCATTCCTTATATGTGAAGGGATAGCTTGGTCTGAGCTATGCTGCCTCCATATCAGAAAAGAGAATAGATTGCCCACCATCCTTTACTGCCTGGGCAGCAAACTGAGCAACAGGTCACAGACTTTCCCACTACTATGGTATGCATCAAATTACAGTAATGATTCCTAAATTGGCATTCACACATATCAATCAGCACATACAGATTTTACACATATTAACACACACAAATTTTATTCAAATCAGAGACTACACCAACTTTAAATATGTGGAAAATGAAAATAAAAGAATTAGTCACAATGGACTGCCTATCGATGTATATAGCAGGGAAATCTGATCAAGATTATAAAAAGAAATGGGAATGGATATATGAAAGTGAAAAATAGAATTAAAGCAAAGAATAATTATTATAATTGTAACTGAAATTTATAGGAATAGATATATACTAATCTATTCCTTTTCGGATTAATTATATAAAGATATCCCTACACATTTATATTTCTCTTTTCTTTTTCTTGGATATGTATAAAATTCTATATCTGACTTATAAACTTCTGATTTATTTGGATACGTAATGTAGATATGAATTCGTTTCTAATATGATTAATATGTTTAATAACATGGTAGTTGGTAGTTATGAAAATGTCTGTTTTATGTATGTATATTTGCAAATTTATTAAATCTAATAAAAATAACAATTTAAAAAAATCTTGGGGGGGAAATAACAATTAAAAAAAATCTTGGGTGGGGGAAACCCCATCTAAATAAATGTGCAGGGGATGGCTCCTTAACTGGAGGAATTCACATGCAAATGAAGGGACTGAGCAGATTTGCCTATTTGTCTGCATCTATCTAGTCTGGAGCTTGACTGCCAGTCCCATTTAAACTATGCCTCCTGCCTCCTGTTCATTGGCACAAAGTCTATCTGCTGTGGAGACCAATTGCTGATCCATCTGGACCAGACTATTCTCCCCTCTCCCCACTGGGCCCTAATAATCTCCCCAGAAGACACCTAGAGGCAAGAACACTTAATGAAAATTATTTGAAAAAAATATTTTAAAAATCCGGGAATACACTACTAGTAGAATTATTATTATTATTACCTCAAGCGCTACATAAATATGTTCTGGTAGCTGTTGTCCATAACTTCGTAGCAATTCAGCTGTGGATTTTAAAGGTTTGAAAATGTCGCCTGTTGATTGTCGGTCACGTATAGCCATGAGATGCCCCATTATTTCAACCAGAAGTGCATAATCTCCTTCTTTCACTTTCTTTGCTAATCCTTGTTCAGTTTCATGGATAAATGTGGCTAACTCTCTAACACTAAAAATAAGCAGAATGAAGGAATGTCAGCAGATAATTAATACAGAACTACCCATTTCTGATAGCTTCCACTTTAATTTAAGGGCTTTTTCAGATGCAGGGAGATAAGTGTCAAGTATCTGTGCATGCTAAGGCTAAGCCAATGTGCTATATATACATTATATGGCTTGGGTCCAAGCTACATCAGGGACCGCCTTCTCCCATACAATCCTCCCCGCGCTCTCCGATCC